AAAAAAAAAGATGTTTCCCTCGGAGAAAAGCTGGTCTCGGTCTCCCGAGGGGCTCAGCCCCGACCCTGCTCCCCCAGGTCAGTGAAAGGCCCACGGATCACACGTGGGGACTTTCTAGTGACAGGCATCTCTCCCGCAATAATTTCCCCGTCTCTTCATTAACGACGACCCAAGGCCCCAGCGCAGGATGAAAGCGAAACTCACTCGGCCGGTCTGTTTCACATCGCAGAGGGCCTTACTCGCTTCACATTTTACAGGAGCAAAAGTTCAAATATAGTTTACATACCAGTGCGAAAGACTAAGGTGTCCAGTCATCACTAACTTACTCAAGTCTAACTTTAACTAGAAAAGACCCCCTTTCTCTTTTTTTTGCCCCTTCCCCCCCCTCCAAACCAGACACATCTCAGCTTCTCAACGATTGTCTGCAGACCCTTCCCGTGTTCACGACTCTTCCTGCATTTCTTTCTTAAGTGTAGTCCTAAATCGGCAAAAATTAGGTGATGAACAAAGTTTTGATTCTGCTGTGAAATCACACTAGCTGTACAACTAGGCAGACGAATTAAGACAATTTGTGTAGTGCTGTTAACCTTCCTGGTTTAACGTCCTCAGGCAGTGGAAGGAGACGAGCTACGGAATACTGGGAATGAATTTAGATAGCCCCTTAAAAATAAATGGCTATATAAGTGCTTGCGTGTGTATTCTTATATATCATTGCACATATATACTTATGAATACACTACTTGTATTTATTTTTAAAGTAGGCAATAATTTAGAAATGTGATCTCTTATGAGTTTTGCAGCAAAAAATAGCAGCTATTTTACAAGCTCATCAGCTTTGTTTCAGATGGCTCCTCTGAGGGGAAAAATACACTCTGCCATTATTTAAATGCAGCTGCTACTACAAATAGGTATTTTTCAGTAGTGCTGAGAGTAGAACGTAAAGACAATTAGCAGCCTGAGCCTTGCAACAGATTCAAGACCGGGGTCTCTGAAAATAAAGGGATCTCGAGTAGCTTTTTAATTTTTGTCCTGTAGTTGCCGATGATTTTATTAGATGTGGGAAGTGAGGAGCTTTTGTTTTACTTTGTTTAACGGATGGGTTTTGTTTGGGGTTTGTGTTTTTGTGTTTTGTTTTTTTTTTTTTTTTTTTTTTTTCTGTAAGGGAGCCCCCTGTGCAAGAAACTGGGGAAAGTTCGTGACCACTCAATGTTTTTGTAGGAAAGCTAAGACTCACGACACGACGACTCCTGCAGCTTCCTGCCCTAGGAGGGACAAAAGCTACAAATGCAGAGCTGCAGATCTCCCCTCATTTTTCACTCTAGACTGTGTTGTTTAAAAGCCACCCACTCCCTAGATTAAAGGAGACACAAGCCCCGCTGAACCCAGCATGGCCTGCTTCAGTTACTAGCAAAAAGAATTTCCTTTCCAGTTAAATGCTGTAGGATTTGCATAAACTATATTAAGAGAGATTTCTATATTAAGCAGACCTGCCCTCGAACCATCAGAGCCAAATGAACTTTTAGCAGAGAGCTTTCCGAGGCAGAAACAGATATCTAGGAGTTACATGCCGGGCTTTAACAGAGCCTATTCTACAATGCTGCGTTTCCCACGTTGTGGTAGTACAACTCATAATGAAGCAGTAATAAGGTAAATTGCTCCCTACCCAACCTAGACTGTATTGTTGAAAAATCACAGAAACAGAAAAGAACTCAAAGCCTGGTTTTAACAGTAATTTCCAGAGTCCTCGCTGAAACAACTTTCCCAAAGATCGGCATTAACAGTGTTTTTCTGCCTTTAGAACAAAAATCTTAACTGAGCCTTCGGCATTCTGTGTCTATTGGCATTCTGTGTCTCTTCCTAGTTAGCTCGGCTTTACTTTCTCATCCCATAGCATTTTCAACAAAAAGGAAAGCACAGACCAAGAGGTCTTTTTGCTTGGATTTATTCTAGAAAAGCTCTTCCATTAACTTCCTAACACGTTGTTTGCAGGGGTGTGTGTGTACACGTGAACGTGTCTATCTGTGGCAGGGGAGCACAGGCTCTAACCCTTGGAGTGCAATAGATACAGGAGGGGAGCGGTGCCCAGCAGGTTAAGGGAGTTCTCGTTACTGAAACGATAACTTCTCTCTGACACAATAAGAGTGTCACTCTTTCTCACCTTGCAGAGAGGTGCCGATTTCTGGCCGTGACATGAAATACTCACCGGAGCCTGGGCGTTCTCGAAATGCTGAGCTCTGAGCTCCTTGCTGCATGTGCTGTAGATGTCACTGCTGTCTGATCGTGCTTGAATTAACACACTGTTTTGACTTCTGGAAAATGCCTAAAGGACAATGCAAAAAGCTTTTGTGAATTTGTTTTTAAAGAAAGAAATCCGGTTTCTTCGTGTTTCCATTTAGAAGGCAGAGAGTGTGTGAACTGTGGAGCAACTGCTACCCCTCTCTGGAGAAGAGACGGCACCGGGCATTACCTGTGTAACGCCTGCGGGCTCTACCACAAAATGAACGGTCAAAACCGACCTCTCATTAAACCCAAACGAAGGCTGGTAGGTGTCTCCCTTTCTCTTGGGTTTGGGGATAAATTAGGCAAGGGGACCACACGCAGGCACCAGTCAAACGCGTCTCATCCCTGCACAGCCCCTGCACGGAGCTGAGCTGTACTGTCCTGTCCAGGGGGGCCAGTCACGGCGAGGTCACTGCCGTGCCTGGGGGCAGCTCTGCCCCCCACCGCC